ATGCATACTTAAGATTATGTGTAAATAGTTTTGGCAATTAAGTGATATACAAATTTTACAAATAAAATTATCTACCCCTCCTCCTCCTACTCTGAAAAGTGAGAACTGTCACAACCAGGATTAGAATCTTCACATCCATTGCTTCAAGGCTGCAAAGCAAACTTCCCCACAAGATATATATGGATTTCCTCACCCTGCCCAATGTAATCTTTTAAGCATTGAGGAGGGTGTTGCAAGGCACAGGTTTTCCACTTGGCTCTTTGTTTTGCTGGCTAGTTTGTCAGTTTCCCTGTTGGATAGCAGCTTTACTTTCATATTTTAATTGCACTGTATGAGGAAGTACTTTATGTCCTTTGGAGCAGAAATAGTAAGGCACAGTAGTCTCTCCAAAACACCATCTCCTTTGGGGAAGCCTGACCCACAACCAACCCCAGCTGGTCAGTCTTTGAAATAAAATCCAGCAAGGTGCTCAGTCAAAGCAACCCTAGCAATGGCAAAACAAGAAACAGATCAATAGTTTAGATAAAAAGCTCTTTTTGCCTGAACACCACTAAGCATTCGAACACTTACAAAACACACCAGCTAGATACAAAGTACAGATACATTCCCATTTCACAGATATCTGTACTGTATTGAGTTTGCGGCAATGATGCATCTGACAGCAACTGTTTGAGCCAGAGCGCTGGCATGGAACATTCCAATTACTTGGGGAACAAAGCAACAAAAGGTTCACAGTCCAACTTCTGGGATAGAAGAGATAGCTGTCTGTTTGACTTGGATTAAAGCCCCACGCAGTACTTAGCATAGCTGTCAAGTGTCCCTTATTTGAAGGGGCAGTCCCTTATTCCAGCGCCATGTCCCGCTGCTGTCCCTTATTGATGGATGTCCCTTAAATTTCAAAGGAAACAGCTCCTCTCCCTCCCTCCCTGCCGGCCAGGGAGGAGGGAGGTTCCAACTGTGTTGCTTGGCTGTGTTGCTCACCCAATAAGAAGTCTAAGAATGACTGGGGGGTGGAGCTTGCATGCCTTGTGTGTGGCTAGTTAATGCAAGCTGAGGGGTTTTTTGAATGCTGGACGCCATTTTGTTGCATGTGCTGCTGCAAACTTTGCAGTGCAAAGCCAGGCCGGGGAGCCATCTTAAGTTGAGGCTGCATAGGCCTTGTGGTGCATGTGATTCAGATTCTATTCAGTTGAACCTCTAGTTACAAAGTTGGTTGGACAGTGTTCTCGAAGCTACCAGCATGAGTTTGACCAGACTGCAGGAGGACAGGAAGACTGGAGTGCCTGGAACAGGTGAGGCTTCAGGTCCCTTATTTTGGCTGCTGGTCCCTTATTTTCAAGGCTGCTGGTCCCTTATTTTCAAATCTGTAAGTTGACAGCTATGGTACTTAGGGAAGGAGGAGCTGCGTGGGGGTTGGCTCAGGCCTAGATGGCTGACCAGGAGGAGGTGCTAGAAGCAGAGATGACTGGTGATCACAAGGACTGGTAAAGCAGAATGCAAGGGAGATCAAAAGTTAGCCGAACCAGAGCCCAGGACAGCCAGAGGCAACTAATTCCAGTTTTGTCCCCAACCTCCTCCCTGCTGACTTCTACAAGGGCAGCATTGGGACTAAAGAGGAGTAAGCCAATGCCACCCCCTGGACTGGATGCAAGTAAGAGGCAGGCAGGTGGGGGCTGGCTGAGCACAGGCTGAAGTTGCTGGGAGAGCAGCCTCCGCTGCCTAAGGGGCAGAGAACCTAAGAGACAGAGGGCTCACTTGGGAAGATAAAAGGGAACAAGAAACACATTATGAATCACTGAGAGAAACAGAGGGATTTACACAGAAGTTTTAGGAACAGTGGGATTAGGGAACCAAAGGTATGCATGGTGTAGAGAAAGTGGTTAGATGAAAGTTGTCTCCCTCTCTCATAACACTAGAACTCATGGACATCCAATGAAACTGAATGTTGGAAAATTTAGGACAGACAAAAGAAAGCACTTCTTCACTCAGGGCATAGTTGAACTCTGGGATTTGTTTCCCCAAGGTGTAGTGTATGACTTTAAAAGAGGATTGGACAAATATATGGAGCAAAAGGTTATCAGTGGCTACTAGTCTCAATGGTTATGTTCCTATCCCCACTATTGGAGGCAGTATGCCTCTGAATGGCATTTGCTGAGAATCACAAATGTGGAGAGGGCTGCAGCACACTCGGGTCCTGCTTTTGGGTTTCCCATGGGCATCTGGTTGGCCACCGTGAGAAGAAGATGCTGGACCCAAGGTACCACTGTACTGAACTTCACAAATACTGATTTGAAGCAACTACAGGCTTTGCTTAAGTCTGGAGCTGCAAAGTTCCCCAGAGCTGATTTGAACAACCATGCTAAACACCAATGCTTGTTCAAAAGAGGACTGCTAGCCCCACCGGCTCAAGGCAAAATGATTTTCAGACAAACAAAAGAATCTGAATACAAATGTCTCAAAACAGCCTATCTCCTCCCAGTACTGAATGTACAGTGGTACCTCGGGTTAAGTACTTAATTCGTTCTGGAGGTCCGTACTTAACCTGAAACTGTTCTTAACCTCTTTAGCTAATGGGGCCTCCTGCTGCCGCCGTGCCGCCAGAGCATGATTTCTGTTCTCATCCTGAAGCAAAGTTCTTAACCTGAAGCACTATTTCTGGGTTAGTGGAGTCTGTAACCTGAAGCGTATGTAACCTGAAGGTACCCAAGGTACCACTGTACTACAGCAGCCTCTGTACAGTGGGGCTGACTCAAATGGTGAGCCCAGGGTTAGGAAGGCAGCTCAAATATTAGATCACATTTTATTACAGTCCTGCAATGTCATTCGTTAAGGCCTGTTGTGAGTTTATTATCAGCAGCTGTCCTCTCTAGCCAAGGGGATGGAAGCTCAGATGAAAAGCAAACAGCCCTCTGGAAGGCTTCTTAAGTCATAGGAGCATGAAAATCTCTCCCCTCCACTTACACAGCTGACTTTCAGATTAAAAAGACACATTCCCACAGGGAGGGAAAGAAGCCAGTCGGCTTGGAAACACCTCCTTCAAGGATCCTGGGGCTTCCGTTTTTTCCATTTGCTGGCAGAATGGGAGTTCCTATCTTAGGGAGCATGCTTATTTGGGCTCTCTCAAAAGCTTGGCTCTGAGGCCAAGAAATATGTCACCATTGATAGTCCAATCCTTTAAGGTTCCACAAGCAAGCACTAAATAGCATTGAGGCCACTTCATCGTCTGCCTGCATGACTTGGAAATCAACACTCTACAAGTGGTTTAAGCTGAACAACTGTGATTGTTGCTAAAGCAATGCTGATGCCATATTTCAGAAATCTGGTTACAGAAACACTCTTGAAATCAGTTTCATCCATTATCAAGTCCCCGCCCCCATAAATTCTGCTTTCACTTTCTTTAGTTTAGGATTAACATGTTAGTGCAAACTATCTCTCCCATGAGGAGATAATATATTTCATTGCATTTATATCCTGCATTTCTCTCATGATGGCACTCAGGGTGACAGACATAAAGTTCCCAAGCAGTCTCCCACTTGGACCTAGATCTGGACCTAGATCTCATTAGCTTCATCAAGGTTGCTGAATCACGTACCTTCAGACTCTGCCCTGGGAGCTAGATAGGAGAGTCTGATATGTGGGGGTCACTCTCACACATCTTACCAGGTAGTCATAGAATCATAGAATCATAGAGTTGGAAGAGACCACAAGGGCTATCGAGTCCAACCCCCTGCCAAGCAGGAAACACCATCAGAGCACTCCTGACATATGGTTGTCAAGCCTCTGCTTAAAGACCTCCAAAGAAGGAGACTCCACCACACTCCTTGGCAGCAAATTCCACTGTCAAACAGCTCTTACTGTCAGGAAGTTCTTCCTAATGTTTAGGTGGAATCTTCTTTCTTGTAGTTTGGATCCATTGCTCTGTGTCCGCTTCTCTGGAGCAGCAGAAAACAACCTTTCTCCCTCCTCTATGTCAACACAAGACTTCCTCCATGGCAATTTTTCCTAAACATACACAAATAGGAGGTGTGATTTATCCATGTGTTCTCTTCCCTGTCCCCCTTGCAATGTGCAAAACCACAGAAATGACAGAGGCTATTCTTGCAGGAAGTCATTGCCACATGCTGGTCTACTTGTATGAAATGGGGAGAGGTTGCATCATAGTCAGAGATGACCACACACTCATGAGGATTTTGAATGCGAAGAGATAAGAATATGAATGAAGGGGATACTGTACCTCCAATCAGAAAAGGAAATTTCTATGGTGTGTTTAAGGCAAGGAAGGAAACTTGCTATTGCATAGAAATGACAGATCTTTGCCACTCTGGAACATACTGAGCAACTACTACCTAAGAGCGCATCAAAATTTCTTTTTCTCTCTCCCATATTCAATGAGAAGTGCATTTGCACATCAACCCTGGTCTTCTGCATACTCCTGTATGAAGGCAAGTTTCACTTTTTGGCTTTAAAAGGACTGCAAATTGCTCACCCCCCCCACAAAACCCTACCGCATAATTTGCCACATTTTCAACAACATGCAGCTGATATGGCAGACATTTAGCAAGCGAAGCCTTTCCTGGCATGCAGACAAAACAGAAAAACTTCATTTGTTGGATCTGTGCATGTTAGGCTGGTGTTAAAGAGGCACAGGGGCCGGCCAATAAGAATAAGAATGATCTCTTCCCACAGCCCCGGACCCTGTGATCATCATCCGAGGCCTTAGTGTGCCTCCTCCACAAGAGGTCAGGAGGGTGGCAACATGAGAATGGGCCTTTTCTGTGGTGGCTCCCTGCTTGTGGAATGCTCTCCATTGGGAGGGTTGCCTGGCACCTTTGTTGCATATCTTTAGGCACCAGGCAAAAACATTCCTCTTTTCTCAGGCCTTTATCTAATTAAACAATCCATGATCTATTATTGTTTTTGTTACTATGTCATGCATTTTCTTGTTTTTATATGGTAAACCACCCTGTGATCCTTGGATTAAGGACGGTATAGAAATATATCTACTGGCGTTCCTGGTTGCTCACATGTTTATTTGGAAGCCTGACTCCCATTACTTTCCCACCTTCCACACTGAACTGACTGGCAGGGATTAGACCCCCCCTTACCCATAATGCTTTGGAATCTGCTGCTAGACGAGCATCGGGACATCTGCACACTGTGGAGCTGAACTGCACACCTGGAAGACTAAGCAACTAGAGAAATGTAAACAGCTAGTATATAAAATAAAAAGCACTAAAAGCACTATAATCAGCTTTCTAACAGCCACTCAGCCACCTGAGGACCTGCCTTCAGGCTATTAGGCAAGTATGATTTACAAATGTTTTCTTGTTAAGCCACAAATTCCTAGCATAAGTGACAAACTGGACAAGAACATTTAAATGCTGAGCAAAACAGCCATGAAGGAGAGGGGATGGCTTTTAGCCCACATTTGGTGGACTACTAACTTCTGTAGATTCACTCTTTTAAGGCACCTAAACCATAAGTGTGCATGGGAGTGCCCTCCAGAAAGTCCTGTGCACTACTAATTAGTTTATTGTGACATGGAACTCTGCATTGCGCTGCCACAGCCTACCATGGCTCTGCTTCTGGGATTCTTTCCAGCCGTTGTACCTGTATTCTGAAGATACATGAATTAGCACGGGGGGGGGGGGGGACCACCTGATATGCCCATTAACAGAAAAACACCTCAGGAAAAAAGCACTTTGCATCATAGTTGGGAAACTGTGGAGTTCTCTTAAGGCTCTAAAAAACTAATGTTGAAGCTAATCCCTAATAGGATTTTGTAGCAGGAGTAGAATGGCACCAGCATTAGAATTCTTGTTAGCTTCTGGTCTTGAGTGAGTCACCTAAGAGAAAGCCTTCCAGCAGCCAGTGCTTGCTTAAAAAAAGGAGAGACATGCTTACAGTTCTCCCAAGCACCTTGACAGAGATCCATGGTGGGGTTTTTAAGAGTCATGAGGTCAATGACTCTGGAGCGGCTGGTTTGCTAGAAAGCAACAGTTTGGCACCTGTCTCCAGCCAAAGCTCGCAGAAGAGCAACAGCAGATAATTCCAGTTCCACTGGAAGGTCAACCAGGCAGCTTACCTTTTGGAGAGAAGCTGGTGCCATTGCAGGTGCAGCAAAGAGATCTCTGGACACTGTGTTTTTGCCAGCCAGCACCAGTACGGAACACTCAGCGCATGCTCCGATGGTCAGCTGCTTACCGTCATCCACCAGCAAGCTGCTAGGCACCCGTAAAGAGCACAGGAACACTGGCAGCCTGGCAACTTGCACCGCTTTTAATCCAAGGCATCGTTTCTTCTCTTGCCTGCAGAAGAAGCAGACAAAAGTCTCCACTTTGTACTGCCTGGACCAGGCGCTGCTTGGATGGGGGGAATGGTTGCTTTCATGCTGCATCCACTGCCCCAAGAGATCATGGTAACAGAGCACACATGTGGCCACTATTCCAGTTGAATCGACAGGCCTAGCCCGAGGAGCTGGTGGGTAAACTGTGAGGAATGGGAAGAATGGCTCCTTCTCGCCAAAGCGGCCTGGAGGGTTGACACTGATGTGAAACTCCTTCCCTGCTCCCAGTTCAGCTCCACAGATGTAGCAAATGGACACCAAGCCCACTTTGGCCAAACCAGGATGCCGGGCAATGCTGTTGGACTCCCCAGCTGAAAAGACCTGGTGATACCTGCCCAGGAAGCTCTGCACCGAAGTGATGAACTCCTCATTGTGGCAAGCCCGGTACATGGCCCACAGGTCCTGCAGCACACCATAACATTTCCGACAGCTATGGACCTCCCAGTGCTTGTTGAGACCTTTGGCATTGGGAGGGCAAGGAAGGAGGCTGAGGAAGGGGAAGTGCATGGTTGTTTTGGCATTGCCGTTGGTGATCTTGGCAGAGACTGACCGGCCATCCTTGGTGCAATCCTCCCCACAGAGGTAGCATGCTTCCTGGAGAAGCTGCAGGGGTCCAGGCACTACCTCCTCTCTTGGAAGAGTCTCCCTCTTAGCCTTGGGGGCTACAGCGTTCAGAGGTACTACATAGAGCCGCTGCAGGACAGGCACGTTGGCCAACTCAAAGCTTTGCCACTGCTGCATGAGGGAAGCGAAGCAGCAAGAACACACTAAGGTGCTACCAGCGGTGCTGATGGGTAAAGCCCCCGGAGGAGGGCTGTGCAACCACAGGAAGGGGAAGAAAGGCGCCTTAGAGGCTTTCTCCTGCTTTTGCACGTGAATCCTGTGCTGGGAAGTAGACGTCAAGAGGGAGCCGCAAACGTAGCAAACGACTTCTCCTACCGATGGCGGCTCTGCCCCCCAGAGAGGTCTGGGCGCTAGGAGGGCGCTGCCATTCTCTTTTTGCTCCTCGTCGCTGGTGATATTGATCTCGCTCTCCTCGGAGGAGCAGTAACTGGAAAGCTCTCGGCCACTTTCCCCCGGGGGTCGCTTGCCCACCAACCCGTCGCCTCTTCCTGCTGTATTGAAGGCCCCCGGTGCGCTCCCGCCGCTGCCTCCTGGCGCGCCATGAGCAGCTCTCCAAATCGGCGCCTCGGCTCCCCAGAGTCTTGCCCGCCGTTGCCTCTTCCTCCGAGGCTTCTCTGCCGGTGGCAGCCCGTTCCCCGGGCGCAAGGGGGCCGCCGCCATCGCCGCCTCCTCTGGGGGTGGCGGCGGCGGCTGGTTCCACTCGCGGTAACTGGCGCGGCTCCCCATGTGCGCGCTTGGCACCGCGCGCTCTTTGACGCGCCAGTAACCCGGACTGCCTTTGGCGCCGCTGTTCCGGCTGGGGGAACGCAGGTCAGGCTCCGAGAGGTTACCGGCGTCAGAGAGAGAGGAAAGCTCAGAGTCTTCGCCGCCGGCGCCGCAACCTTCTTCCTCGTCGTCGTCGGCCGGCTGGCTCCGGCCGCTGCTGCTACTAGGACGCCGCTCGTCGTCGGCGCCCAGCACGTAGGAGAGGTTCCACTCTTGGGGGCCCCTGCGCAGCCCGCCGGGCCCCCCCGCCGGCCCGTCGCACTGGTAGGGCCGCTTCAGCCAATACATGCGCTTTTCCACCGGCGTGCGCGTCCTCTCGAAGGAGTCCCACTGCTCCGCCAGAAAGCAGCGGCAGACGGCGCACACCACGGCGCAGCCCTCCGGAGTCACCTCCTGCGCCCCGGGCGCCGGCTCCTGGTGCTGCAGGAAAGGGAAAAAAGGCTGGTTGTCGCGGGGGTACTTCACTTGCAGCTTCAGCTCCTTGCCCCGGCTGATCCCGCCGCCGCAGATGAAGCAGCAGAGCGCCGCGTCGGAGGAGGCGGAGGCAGCCGCCGCCAACGCCGCCGGGGACTCGGCACGACAGCAGCTGCCACTCGCCGCTGCTCCTGCACGCTCGTCCCCGGACGCGATCGCGGCCATCAAGCGCTGCTTGCGCGAGATCGGCGCCTCCTTCTCCGGATAATCGCTCATTTTGCCCTCGGGTAGTCCCCGCCCGGTCGAGAGCGGCGGCTGCGGGAGGCTCCCCAGGGCTGATCGCTCATCCTGCAGGCGCCGGGTGGCCGGACACGCTCTGGGAGGGAGACGGGCTGCCGGAGTTGGCTGCGATTAGTTGGTTCCCATCTGCAGACTTGCTGCTGCTGCTGCCGCCGTCGCCGCCACTTTAGGAATGGGTGGGAAGGGACTGGGATCCGGGCTGCTGCTGGCGGAGGGGGGTTGTTTTTTGGCGTGGGGCGCTCCTGCGGGCAAAGGCTGGAGACGGTTGCCAGCCGCGTCCCGCTCCAGAGCTAACTTCGGCCGGGTGGAGGAGCAGCAGCCGCCTCTTGTGCAAAGTTTGGCTGCGAACTCGGTAGCGCCATCTCCCTCCCTCCCTGGAGGTGGGTCTCCTCCGCGCCACCAGCAGCGGCGGCTTCCACAATAAACCAGCCCCCTCGCCTGTCTCTCCCCCACCCCGCGCGCCAAAATCTGCATTGGGGGGAGGAGGGAGGGAGGGAGGGCTTCTTCTCCCTCCTTGCTCAGGCTCGCGGCCAACGATCACACAAGGAAAGCCCCGCTTCGGAGGAGCTTCGCGGCCGTCGCCTGCCCAGAGTCACAAGACCTTTCTGAAGCCGAAAGAATATAAAGAGATTCGTGCGGCTGTAGAAAGATTCTTGTTTGCATTTGGACCTGCAACATTCAACTTCCAGTTCTTACTAAAGACTTGGAGTGGTTTGTTGGACTGTACAGCTGCTTCAGCCTCTGCTTTTCTCATCTGTCAAACGGAAGCAAAGACTAGTTACCTATTAAGTTCTTTCTATTACACATTAATAATATTTGTGCTCATAATGCTATCATCCCACTTTCAATACCATTTCAGCCTGCAAAATTTTTGGGGTGGTGGCACAGCTTCATATCCAATCAGTGCATCCCTTCCTGCTGAATTCCCCAAACTTTTTATACCACAAATGTTCTGGCTTTATAGCCCCCCAATAATGCTGTAACACTGGGGAAACATTGCTGAACAAAGAAGGTGCCCTCCAGATGCGTTTGGACTACAACTCCTATCAGCTCCAGCTGGCATGTCCAGTGAGCAGGAATGATGGGAGCTGTAGTCCCATCTGGAGAGCTCTGCCCAACTGTTAGAGCATTTGCAAATTAAGGGCTCGTTTTTATTTCTACATATTCATTATTCTGTTTTAAAATGAAAAGCAATGGAGGAACATCCGGCCAACACAGACAAAAATCCTGCCACCACCCCCAATCAGATGTTTGGGAACCAAATTTAATTCCCTGCCTCCTCTCTCAGCTGATCCGCAAAACTCTGGCTTGTGGGAAAGGGCTTGATGGGCATCAACAAGAAATAGTGGTGGTGCAAAGGGAAACTGTACAGGCAAGATGCAGAACAGCCAGTCTCTCTAAATGGCTCTTGAGACTCTTGACAGGTCACAACCCCTCTCCCTAGGCCACCACACCCATCACCAGCCCTGCTCCAATGCCCTCATTTAGTGCTCTTGCATAACTGAAATATGTCCTCGAACTGTGATCATGCCTCTTCCTTGCCTTCTTGGAGCACAGAGAGGGGTGTGTGACTGTAGAAACCTCTGACTTTGGCATGGCTGGAATGCAGTCTGCTATACAAAGTAAGAGTCATATGCATTGCTCTACTTGCTTTTGCCGCTGGCCACACCCACCCCAGGATGTGGCCCCCAGAAGCTTGCCCAGGAGGCAATTCAGCCCTTGGGTTAAAAAAATAAGGCTTCCCATCCCAGTTGTAAAGCAAAGAAAGCAGAGATCCAGGTTTCAGCAATGCCATCACAAACTGTGTCATGGTCATTGACCTCACTTCCACACTAGATGAGTCAACAGCACTTTGTCAAAGTCACTACGTCAAAGGGTGGCATGGCAATTGCACTTAAAGTCAGGGAAATTGCTGCAAACCATGTCATACAATAGGACAAGCAACCTATAGCTTATATCTGGAAACAATGCCATCTGGATTCTCTGTAAAAACTGAGTGAATGGCTGAGATCAGCGCCAGAAAAAAAAAGGCTGATGTGTAAGCACCCCAGCAGCATTTGTCTCTGGAGTAGTTCTTTCTGTGCCAAATAAAAGAATGTTGTTGTTGTTGTTTAGTCATTTAGTCGTGTCCGACTCTTTGTGACCCCATGGACCAGAGCACGCCAGGCACTTCTGTCTTCCACTGCCTCCCGCACTTTGGTCAGACTCATGCTGGTAGCTTCAAGAACACTATCCAACCATCTCGTCCTCTGTCGTCCCCTTCTCCTTGTGCCCTCCATCTTTCCCAACATCAGGGTGTAGAGGGTATCATTTTTTTAAAAAGCCACTAAGCACAATTCTTTCCTGCTCAGAACAGGAGTAAGTTCATTCCAGAGCCATCTGCACTATAACTTCCCAAGATGTCAAAAAGTTGCTAGTTTCCCCATCATTCTAGAGCTTTGTAGACTGAAAGGAAAAGGTTATAACAAAGTATAGTGGGGCCATGGGCAATTGCTTTAGGGTTTTAAAAGAAATAGTTTCATGATCGACATGGTTTATCAGTGGCTACTGCCTCTATATACCAAGGTAGTATATAAGCAGCTCCTGTCAACCTAGCAGTTCAAAAGCATGCCAAAAAGTGCAAGTAGATAAATAGGTACCGCTCTGGCGGTAAGGTATACGGTGTTTCCGTGCACTGCTCTGGTTTCAGTGTTCCATTGCACCAGAGGCGGTTTAGTCATGCTGGCCACATGACCTGGAAAAACTCTCTGAGGACAAACGCCGGCTCCCTCGGCCTGTAAAGCGAGATGAGCACCGCAACCCCAGAGTGAGTCGTCTGCAACTGGACTTAACTGTCAGGGGTCCTTTACCTTTTTTATGTAACTATTACCAACTCTAGGGGCAGGTTCTTACCCTTATACCTTCCATGTGAGCTTTGAAGGCCAACTGGCTGGTTGCTATTAGACACAGAATGCAGAACTAGATGGGCCATGGCCTGACCCAGCAAAACAGTTATTACTCTCCTGTGTTTGCACTTTGGAAAACTTTAACCAACTTTTACTTTCACATCTTTTAAAACTGATCACATTTCCTTCACAACTAGCTCTCTTCTGCCTTAGCAAAGCCTCATTTTGGCACCAGTAAGGTAGCCTCTTATGCATTGCCTTGGGGCTTGTCCACATTTTTGCTTGCCCCATCACTTACTTCTCAGAAAACTCACTCTTTACCATTAAATTGGAGGAAATGTCAATTGAGTTTTCTGTGGATTGATGTCTGCTCTGATTCAGCGGTAAAGAGGGGGTTTTGCTAGGGAAAGCAGCAGGGCAAACAGAAAACTACTTGGACCCATGCCCTGAAAGCCCGGGACAAGCAGAAAACCACTTGGATCCATGCTTTTTAGGCATGGGACAAGTGAAGTGTGGACGAGCCCTAAAAGGAGAAATTGCATCATTAAAAAAAGAGATTTGCATAAAATTTGCATGTCCTAATTTATAAGTATAGCTGCAAATTTAGAAACAACGACTACCATTTAAATAGGAATACAATAAGTCTCATCACTGTAGGGAAGACTGGGGCCAGGCGACCTGTGTGCCTTCTGTCCAGGGTTGATAGGCAAATTCTTCATTTTTAAATCAGACTTGAACCTGGCAGTCTTTCAAATAGAGGGCTGTATTCTGACAACACTTGAAATAGGGAACTATCCTCTGTAAAATACAAAACATGGTCACCCTACACACCAGAATGCTCTCTGCACTACTTGTACCAATGCTCAAGAAAGAGATGCAGGGTGATATAATGGATAAGAGTGTCAGAGCAAAATTCAAACGACTGCTTCACAGCTCATGGGGCAACTCTTGGGCTGCATACTCATGACCTTTTATTCTAGAATCAATGGCTCCTGAGCACCTTTTTTATGCAGTTCACACACAATATAGACCTGTTGCATAATCCCACCCTGAAAAGCACTTACTGAGAAGTTGATTTCAATCCAAAAATAAAAGCTCAAGGCAGATGGATTCTACAGTAGGTTGTCCCAGCAAAGGATGGGACCAATGATGTTGTGGGTGGACATATACCAAGATCATAGTCACCATTTCATTCTTCGTTCACATGGAACATGCATAGGGCGGATAAGCCTTGGATAACCTAATCAAGGGGAGGGTTTTCAGATACGCACAATTCAACCACACTCACTCTTGTGGATTGCAGGATCTAGAAACAATACACAGAAGATTGAAAAGCAGCATTTTGAACTTAAGAATAGCCCCACTGGATCAGGCCAGTGGCCCATCTAGTCCAGTTTTCTCACAATGACTAACCAGATGCCCATGGGAAGTCTGCAAGCAGGAGATAAGCACAACAGCACTCTCCCCTCCTGTAGTTTCCTGCAATTGGTATTCTGACCATGGAGGTAGAACACAGCCATTGTGGTTGGTAGCCATGATAGCCTTGAGTAAAAGCATGAACAATTCCATTTTGAGAAATTCTAAAATTTTGTGTTACAAATGCATTAATGTGCATGTAGCCATAATGATCCTGAACAGGCACTTCTGAGGCTAAAATGTGGGACGGGGGACCCTGTACACCTCCATGAAGTTTTTAGAGGAAGAACAGGATCAAAACAACCACGTAAAATGGGAGATGGTGAAAGAGAAGCTATGGCCTTCTGTGCCTACTGTGCCAGACCTTCACCAAAAGAAGACTAATCTGGCTGTTTGAGGACCCGGGGTCCAGCATATCCACTAGTCATCTGGGAGAAAATGGCAATTAGCCACAGGTGGTACAAAACTGTCCTGGATTGTTAAGTCTACAGCTAATTGTGAAATTTGAAAGGTTAGACTAAAATCACTTCAAAGAAAGCCTAGACCTGGAAGTCCTAAACTTTAAGAAAGGCTGTCCATCTGGTCCAGCACCCTGTTCTCACAATGACCAACCATACGCCTATGGGAAGCCTTCAGGTATGGAGACTGACCTTACAGACAAGCTACATATTCTTCTTAGAATATCATCAGTTCCAAATTTGAGCTAATTCAGAACATACTGGGTAGATACTATGTGGACCAGGTGATTTGTTCATTTTTAATTTGTCAATAAGGCCTAGAAATTTGTCACTGCTGCTTGCTTCAGTTCCACGAACTCCCTTCCTGAGAAAATTAGTTCAGGTACAGGAATCTGCTCTGCAATTTGTAGTGAATACAACTGTCCACTTACAGTACATATATGTTGAACTGGACAGCAACACATCACATACCAGGTCCTGGGCACCATTTAAGTCCAGGGTTGCCTCCCCTCTGGCCATCAACTGTTCTAGGACATCGTCATTTAAACTACTGTATCTACATTTTTTATCTCTCATGACTACAACATGCATTTACCCAGTCCATGTGACAGTTGCTGATGTCACCTATTGCTACAGCATTTATTCATTTGGATGTCTTCCCATTACCATGGGAATTTTGGTCATTGGGGGGAACAGTACACCACCAATTGTAAGTTAGACTTTGTGCCTAGTATTGCCACCCAGTCAGTGGAGGCTGGTCCTTTAGGGGAAATGGAGCACTGCCCCCACTCATCTCAGCCTGCCCTCAAATAGCCCCCGCCTGCCCTGCCTGCCTTTTTACTTAAAACCAGTCCAGGGGGCACCAACAACTAGTGCCCACAGTGATTAAGTCTGCCTCTTTGGCAGATGGAGGTTTCAAACTAACTTTCCCCCAGTAAACTTCCCTTAGTAAAAACAAACAAACAAACAAACAAACAAACAAACAAACAGAGCCTCGGAAAATAGAACAGGGATTTTGCCTTGTGGCATTCACTTTTGAGCTCAGTTTCAGAGAAATGAATCAAAAGAAAAATGAACAATGCTCCCATAGATTGCCATGGAACCCCATGAACTCCATTACTACCAAGACATACAATGTCATCTTATACTAAGGCAGATCACTGGTCAGACGCACCAAACATTGTGCACTGTCATTGAGTGACAGCTGTTCTCCAGGTCTCAGGTAAGTCTTCAGGAAAACCTGTATTTTACCACTGAATTGGAGCAAACAGCAACCAGGTTTTCCATGGATTGCCATTTGCTCCAATTCAGTGGTAAAACATGGGTTTCCCCAGAGAAAGCACAGGGACAAATAAAAAGCAGCTTGGACAGAGAGCTTTAAAACATGGACCTGTGCCTGGAAAGCTCAGTGCAAAAAGTCTGGATGAGCCCTTTCCCACCCTTGCTACCTGTGTTCCTTTTAAAAAACAACTGAATAGTTAGGACTGAACTTTCAGAATGCAAATTGTGTGCCTGTGGCTCCTCACCAGTACTCCATGGAAGAGGTACATGGCCAAGGCAACTGAAGATGAGAAGCACAAGAGCAAAGCAAAAGATCCAGAGGAGACCCCTGGAATAGCCTGTCATTCATTAGTAGAGTGCAAGAACAACTGGGCCAGAGGAGTCCTCAGTTGCAGTAAACTCCAAATGGGTGATTGACTGACTACTTTCCCACACAGACAGCATCCGCCCATGTCTTAACTAGTTGGCCTCCCTGATGCAGCCTTTGCTCCTCTAACAACAGCTGCATTGCATTTTGCACATGGGGAAAATGTCATCGCTCATGGTGCTGAAAGCGTGATGTTCCCCATAACAACTGGCTGCAAAATCAAACAGATTGTATGACATCAGCTCAGAAAACACTCAGGAGAAGAGAGTCTACTGCTCCTCCTGGGATAAATTTCAGCTTTCTTCGCAGGTGGCCCTGGTATTCAAGAGTGGGTTGGGAACAGAGAAGGGCACGGGAACAAATGTTTAGCTGAAAACAGAGACTGGCAAAGGGAAGGAAGAGGTCTTTAAAAAAACACTGTTACATTGGGGGTTAGGGTTAGGGGGGCGGGTGTCAGATTTTAATTTACAGCAGGGATGGGAAACCCATGGCTCTCCAGATGTTGTTGGATCAGACAGCATGGACAATGCTCAGGGAATATAGGAGTTGTAGTCCAACAACATCTGAATGGCTGCAGGTTCCCCACATCTGTTCTGAAGGTATCCAAAGGTAACCAAAAGCAATGGAAGGTTTGCAAGGTGATTTAAGGGCAGCTTATATAGTTTTTGTCCCTTTAAGTAAGGTCTAGTTGTTATAAGCAGATCAC